GGACAATGTATGCCATGTTTCACTAGAGAGGGAGAGAGAGAAAGAGTGAGTGTACTCTACGGACAATGTATGCCATGTTTCACTAGGAGTTATATATTAGAATGAGCTAGACTGCTAGAGAATTCACCTGCTTGGCACACACTGAAGCAGCAGTTAGATGCCCCACTAACAAGGTAAAGCAGCAGCAGTCAGTTGCAGCACTAACATGGTAGAGCAGCAGCAGTCAGCTGCATTACTAACATAGTTTGGGTGTGTGTGTACTCACCTAACTGTGGTTGCAGGGGTCGAGACTCAGCTCCTGGCCCCGCCTCTTCACTGAGTGCTACTAGGTCCTCTCCCTGCTCCATGAGCTTTATCATACCTCATCCTAAAGCTATGTATGGTTCCTGCCTCCACTACCTCACTTGCTAGGCTGTGTGCGTGTGTTCGTAAAAGGTCTTTTACTGTCACCTTTTCATGTACCAAGCTTTCTAAAATACAAGGAGCGCCTTTTTTCCTCAAAAAAGTCTTGGAAAATCACCCTGCGTCTTATATGCTCAAGGTCAGGATCAACGGTAGGATCTGGGTTACGCTTTAGCATAAAGTATGAGGGTAATTAGCCCTAGAATATAATTAGTGATTTACATTTATGACACTTCTGTCGTGCACCTTATATGCCAGAAAATACAGCAGTTTTGAAGAAGTTTAGTTCAGAATTGGCTTTTTCTGCTGTATCATTCTCAAATTGTTGCTCAGTTTCTCTTCTCACCTTTCCATATTCGTTTCTTGCTCTTCTTCTCACTTCTCTCATTTCCATAGCTCTTCACTTTCTATAATTTCTCCACGCTCTTGCGCCTCTATTTTTTCCTCTAATCGTCTTTGGTTGAACCATTGACTCTTTTCTTATTATTTCCTCTTCTTCTGAGTTTGGAGTTTTTCTCTGCCTCCTGGTATTTTCCAGGTAGGTATTTTCTCTTATTTGTTGAATTTCCTTCTATTTCCCTTTCACGTTGTTCCGCATTCAGGAATTCTCTGATTCCAACAAAATTTCGTCTTCGGAAGTTTCAATTGATTCTCCATTCACCATCTGCTATTTTTTTCCACTGTATTTACTTGTACAGAGCATTAGAACTTCAGTACAGTTTGGTAACTAGTATTCAGAAAAGTCTGGCATTTAATTTTGCTTATAGCGGATGCATTTATTGTAAATACTAGATCTGGTCTTGTTGGCTCATCATTCCTCTCTGGTGTGTCACTGATAAGGAATTCCATCACTACCTATATCATCTTATTCTTTGCTGGTCCCTATGTGAATCCCGAACCTCCAAATTTACTTTTTTTTTTTGTTTAGGAAATAGTCCATGATTAGTAGATTTGCTATGGGGACATGGGTTTCTTTTGCTCCTTTTCCTATGGTGTCAACTTTTGCTTTTTGGTGATGTGCTGTAAATCACCACTACTATTACTTTGGGTCCCCACAATCTTGACACAGCTGTCAGTATATACATTTGACTCCTTTTTGTTTGATAAATCAGACATTTGTGCAACATTTGTCAACTGGTCGGCTTTCAAAACCATATGTACAAACTCTTTCTTTTTACGAGTATCTTATATCTTCACACTTTAGCTTATAGCTTATTAGTAGTGCAGTTTCTTCCCCTTTCATGTTTTCTCTTTCTTTCTTCATTACAAGATATCCACATAGAAATATTGCACCTGTTATCATTTGTTAGTTTTATCCGTATGATACCTATGATTTCTGTGGTTGCCCCAGCTATCTTTTATTTCAGTTCGCTACTCTTATTTGGCACTTCATCTACATTTGTGTACCGTACTCGGAACTTACTCTCTTTTAATATACTCTGATATGTGGTGTTCTAGCTGTCTATTCGCTGCTTGTGTGTAAGGAGGGGAGGCTGGGGTTTGTGTGTGGCCTTTTTCAGAAAGGGGCAAAAGACTATATTGATTTCCTTCACGTATGGCCTCTTTGGCCTTATATCTACTCTTGAAGTTGCGTACCGCGTGCGTGAGTGTTTGTGTGTGTGGGGGAGGGGGGCACAGGTATGCACGTTGTGTCTCAATGACAACCGATGAATTGTGATGGTAGCCAGGATGAACTTGGTAATGATGTCCCTATGTTTTCCTGACAGGAAACATTTCCACTTTTATCAACTGGACTTTTTCTCAGTGAAAAATAGAGAGTGCGCGCTTGTGATTCACCTCTTTCACACCGTTGTTTATTTAAATTGTGATTTCAAATTTTCGTAAAACATATTTTATGGATGCTGATTTGCAAGTAATAATTTTCTGGGACAAGCAGAGAAGGATAAGATTTTAATGACTCGCTGAAAAAATCACCAACAGCCTGGAAGGACAGAGACCACTCCACGCTTAATTGACAGGGGATACACATGCTAGTGGCTTTCTTTTGTGCTTAATAATATTATATTACATGTGAACTTCGTTTTGTATACAGCAGAAAAGAAAGTTGTACTGTATTGTGTGTCTACTACTTGCACTGAATGCTCAACATGAATTTAGCATTCCACGAAATTTAGCATCCTCACACGAAATTTAGAATTTTCGTGTGAGGAGTTTGAGTTAGGTGGGCAAATACTGCACAATCATTAGCTGTCTAGGTAAACCTGAGGGGATTTACCTGGTCTAAGAGCTTGTCTGTGTTGTGAGCTTCACAGTACCTCACTCAGTGCTTTGCAAAGGCCCATGGCATAAAATGAACGGCACCACAGACTGAAACGTAACCAAATATACGTTCAGCGTACTTATAATTACATTACCAGAGCTGGCGTACAACAGATCGGCGATCCCTGGCACTCCACCGCACATCCCTCTTAAATCCTTCACCGTACGCACCAACGCCTTCCTTCCAAACTCGGCTTCTCTTAAAGTACTGACCCAAGTACTCCTAGCAGCGTTCCTTCAGCTGTCGTTTTTATCACCTGGCTCCGTCTATCGCCTCACAGGTTTTACTCTTATGGTATAAAGCGGAGCGTCTGACAAGCGTTTAATGCCTCTTTCCTACAACCCAAGATGCTGGCCAAACAAACCCCTTTGTGTGATATAACGTTTAATGACTTAATCGTACCAGTTGTTCACTGTCTTCTAGTGTTAAATAACATTTCATTTTTAAATGGTTGAAGTGTAAATTCAGAGTTAATTACGTTATTTTTGTGTAAATTACGGCAACTGTGTTTATATTATTCTTGCTTTAATAACGTCTTTCCTATGATAAAATCTTAAAGCTTGTAGTAAAAGCTACAATACTGCGTTAATACCACTTTTGTGCTAATAACGGCACTCATTCATTAAAAATCTCCCCCATTCCCCTTCTGTTAATATCACTGTCACATAATCAATACCGTCACTTGGTAATACAATAAATAACATCACTCCTGTGTCATCACAATGCATAATTCGATCGTGAATTCTCTAAAACATTTTCCTTCGTGTAATATGAAACAACGAAAAAATTAAAATGTGTAAATGTTTGAAAAACGTAGGAATTTTGCTTCTTTTCACGTTTCTCTTTCGCCTTCTATTTATTCTTTTTTCCTTATCAATATTCTTTTTAATACTTTTCATCCTATTCTCCTTTCTTAAAATTTTCACATTCTTCGTCTTACATTTTCCCTTCGTCTTTTTAATCTTTCTTTGCTGTGAAAGCTTAGCGAACCTTCAACATATACAATTCTTTGCAATTCATATCTAATGTATTGTACATGGATTATTTTTCTTTTTAACTGGTGGGCATGTGCATCGTTCTGAACGTTTCAAATTTTGTGTCTTCCTTCTGTTCCATTCTTCCCTCACTTCTGCTTTCTCCTCATTCCATTATCGTGTAGTTTGCCGAAACGATCAGGTTCATGTTAGTTTTATGATGCAGTAAACCACAGCTGTTCTCATCTTTTACTTCTGCAGGAGCTGTTATAGACAAATTGTTACTCAACCGAGGTGGTGGCAAGCCTCGCTAGTTTTGTCGTTAGTTGACTTTCTCCTTAAAAATCTCATACCCCTTAAGTTTAAAGTCGTGGAGACTTGTTCTTTTAGAGACCACCATGCAGATCTTCGACTGCTTCTGAGTGGTGGTTCACTTTGTGAATCATGTTCTTTAAAAGTGTGCTTAGATTATACACAAGCTGGTGACCCCAATTTTTAATTTTTTTCAGAGCATTTTGTTTCAGTGGTTGTCATACAATTTTTAAATTAGCTCGGCACAAGGGTTCTGACTCTCGAAGTTACCTAAGTGTCGAATTTATCCTTTCAGAGATTATCAGTCATAGTGTGTAGTGAGGTTATCATTTTTCTCTCTCCAATGTCTGCCATTAAGATACTGGAAGAGCGCAGGACGATGGTCTAGTTACATTATGTTTCCAGTTACTGTAACTCATTCTTCTGGAAACAGCCATGAAGATCCTGGACACACGTGGGGAATTTGACCTGTTAATCCAAGTTTCCAGTTTATCTTATGATTCCATAGGTTGCCGGTGAGAGTGTTAGTCCTGTCACTACAAGATTCCAGTCCAGAAGCCTTCATCGAGAACGTATGTACAATATTCGCCAGGATAGATGTTTTGGTACGGGTCTTAATCTTTCGATGAGCCGTTTCATCAAGATCATGGCCCGGCCACCTTATATTTTCAGTTTCCTGTGTGTTGCCAAATGCTTCGAGATCCTGGTTCTGTCACTTTACATTTCTAGCTTGTTCCATGCTTCCTGAGGCCGCCATAGAAAGCATGGACATGGGCGGGATGATGATCCCTCACTACAAGATTCCAGTGTTTCTTGAACCTTTTGAAGCTGCTATTAAGATATTGGTCGAGTCACTTCACGATTCTAATTTGTGTTGAGATTCCAGAGGCCGAGGACGAAATATTGGTGCTGCTCATTTATATTTTCAATATTCATTGTGTTCAGTAGGTAACCACAGGGATCCAGGTCAAGCACGACTGAGGTGATGGCCTAGTCACTACAAAGTTCCAGTCAGTGTCTTGTGTTTCCAGAGGCCGCTATAAAGATCCTGGACGAGCGCGGGGAGGTTCTGACGGAGAAAGTCTACCGCGCGGGCTCCACGATTGAGCTGCAGTGTCACGTAGCCGACGTGCCAACGGCAACCTCGCTGCAGGTGGCCTGGTATCATGGCACCCATAGACTCAACTATGACGACTCCCGCGGCGGCGTCAGGTAAGTAACCGGGCAGTAACCAGATAATCATTTTAAGTCAATATAATATATATGTATATAAAATTATACATGATGGTTGTAGGGGAAGTCGGAAGCGGAGTTTCAAAAGTGGCTTCAGGAAGAAATCCAATATTCTTCCCCTCTGAAGTTTTTGATACCACTTCTCCGAGGCGTAGTAGTACCCACAATTTACACCAAGGTGGACCCTTATAATATATATATATATATATATATATATATATATATATATATATATATATATATATATATATATATTATATATATTTCAGTGCAAGAAGCAGCTCTACTCTTTTATTTTAAAATAAAAAGTTTAAATACTATTAACATATTAAGAGAGCTAATTACTCGCTTAAATTTCAATTATAAAAAAACTATGCTAATGTGTTTCCGATGAAGCGAACTAATGTGTAATTTATTATCCATTTGAACTGTTTCTGATATATCAACAATGGAGGACTTTTATCCCGATGATCCATATTACAAAAGTACGATTTTAAATCGGACAGTATTTACAATAGTTATAATGTAAAGGTATGAAGGTAGACAGTACATGGGAAAATATAAAAAAAGGATAATCAGTGTGTATAAAAAGAATTTATTCAAGGAGGGTTCCTTGTGCTGGTGAAGGGTCCTTGATGCTGGTGAAGAGTTCTTGATGCTGGTGAAGGGTCCCTGATGCTGGTGACGGGTCCTTGATGCTGGTGAAGGGTACTTGTTGCTGATGAAGGGTCCTTGATGCTGGTGAAGGGTCCTTGTTGCTGGTGAAGGGTCCTTGATACTGGTGAAGGGACCTTGATGCTGGTGAAGGATCCTTGATGCTGGTGAAGGGTCCTTGTTGCTGGTGAAGGGTCCTTGTTGCTGGTGAGGGTCCTTGATGCTGGTGAAGGGTCCTTGATGCTGGTGAAGTCTCGTTGATGCTGAAGAAATCTCCTTGATGCTGGAGAAGGCTCTTTGATGCTGGAGAAGGCACCTTGATTCTGGTGAAGTCTCCTTGATGCTGGAGAAGGCTCCTTGATGCTGGTGAAGTCCCCTTGATGCTGGTGAAGTCTCCTTGATGCTGGTGAAGTCTCCTTGATGCTGGTGAAGGTTCTGTGATGCTGGTGAAGGCTCCTTGATGCTGGTGAAGGCTCCTTGATGCTGGTGAAGGCTCCTTGATGCTGGTGAAGGCTCCTTGATGCTGGTGAAGTCTCCTTGATGCTGGAGAAAGCTCCTTGATGCTGGCGAAGGCTCCTTGATGCTGGTGAAGTCTCCTTGATGCTGGAGAAGGCTCCTTGATGCTGGTGAAGTCTCCTTGATGCTGGAGAAAGCTCCTTGATGCTGGAGAAAGCTCCTTGATGCTGGTGAAGTCTCCTTGATGCTGGAGAAAGCTCCTTGATGCTGGTGAAGTCTCCTTCATGCTGGGGAAAGCTCCTTGATGCTGGTGAAGTCTCCTTGATGCTGGTGAAGGCTCCTTGATCTAGTGAAGCTTTAGTTGATGATCTTGTTAGTGAAGCTCTCCTTGATCCATGGCGAAGGCTCCTTGATGCTGGCGAGCTCTTGATGTGGTTGAAGGCTCCATTGATGCTGGTGAAGGCTCCTTATGCATGAAAGCCAACAAGACCACATTGATGCCATGGAAAGCTCCCATTGATGCTGGGAAGGCCCTTGATGTGATGAAGTCTCCTAGCAGCGGCAAAGAGCTCCTGAGCATGGTGAAGCTCCTTGTGCTGGAGAAAGCTCCTTGATGCTGAAAAAGCTCCTTGATGCTTGTAAAGTCTCCTGATGAGACAGCACCGCTCTTGAGCTGGAACAAGCCCTCATGCTGTGAAAGTCTCTGAAGCTGGTGAAAGGACTCCTTGATGTAGTAAAGGCTCTTGGATGTCTGGTAGGAATGCTCCATTGACTCATGGCGAAGCGCTCATTGATGCTGGGACAGGCTCTCTTGATGTGGTGAAGCTACCTTGATTATAGAATTTTATTTATCTATCATTGTAATATAACTGATGTATCTCCTTTCCCAAGCGGTGTATTGAGGCCTAAGAGATATATGGGATGCCAAAGATCCAACAGTAACGAAGCTAAACTTCCTCTTAAACCAATAACACACACAACAAATGCACCACAAAATTTTGTATACCAACACACGCTAACACAGCAATATAGAGCGTCAACACAACCCTTAACAGAGTAATGACACTCCAGCAACGCGGCAACACAACATCACAACAACAATGGAGCACCACCACAGTTCCTAAGCAACACGACACATCTGAAACACAGCGTTAGAGCACAGTTTCAACAGCTCCGAAACAGCACCGACTCATAATTAACGCAGCTCCAACACACCGCCAACACATCTCTGACACAGCACTAACACTGGTGAAATGGAATATTTGAAAATGAGTAACTATTTTATCTACTCTGGGGTGTTGGAGGATATCCTCATTAGCTATCCTCAATTTGCCAGCACTCATTAGCAGACTAGTGATGACCCAGTTGCATGCAAATGCATACTGTATGTGCTATATTATATATATATATATATATATATATATATATATATATATATATATATATATATATATATATATATGTAACAGAGAGAGAGAGAGAGAGAGAGAGAGAGAGATGCATAAAAAGGCATCGAGGAAGAATATTTGGATATCTTCCTGAAGCAATTTGAATATTCCACTTTCCCTACCACACATATTATTTATTGTATTATTAATTTATTATATTTATTTTAACACATCGGTCGTCTCCCACAGAGGCAGGTTGACCGAAAAAAAAAGAAAAAGTTTCATTACTCACTTCATCACTGTCTTGTCAGAGGGGCACCACAACTACAGTTCAAAGCGGCAGATATCCCCATCCCTTCTTCAGAGTGCAGGCACTGTACTTCCCATCCAGGAGTCATCTCTGGCTAACCGGTTTTCCCTAAATCCTATTATAAATGTGACCTTGCTCCAACTCCAACAGCTCATCAAGTTATAAAAATCACTAGGCTCCACTTACTCTAGTATGCTCACACACGTTCCTGGATGTCTAAGTCCTTTGCACACAAAACCTCCTTAACCCCCTGCCCCCCTACCTCTCACTCCAACCCTTCCTAGGATGACCCTTTTCCCGTCTTCCGTCCAGTACAAATTTATATACCCTCGAAGTCATCCTGTTTTGTTCCATCCTCTCTAAATGGCAAAACCACCTCAACAACTCCTTCTCGGCACCTAATTTCCAAGCTACAAATTCTCTGCATGATGTTCACACCACACATCTCCACAGCCTCCAGCCACCTTGTTGCAAAATTCACCACTTATGCTTCACACCCATATAAGAGCATTGTCATCACTATACTCCTACACAGTCCCTCCCCCTTTTTTCTCCATGGATAGATTGATAATATACAGACTGATATCTTATGACACCATTATTTCTGTTCTCTCCTGCTTCTTTTCCTGAGTCTGTTATTTATAATTTCTCTTGGCCCCGCTTTGGGATGACGGAGACTTAAAAAAGATCTTTCTCATGTGAATGGCATAGGCTGTCTTGAGAGACGGCAATTCCTAAGTTATAGTAACTCCAGATATACTGGAACCACGCTTCTGAATCTTCCATATCTGATAAACCTTTGCTGGAATGCTTGATATCCGCATTACCCTACAGAAGTCTCTCAGCTCAGGCTGACAGATTTCAACACCTTGTTCGATCCCTTCCTACGTGATGAAATATGGTGGGCAAACATAGCAAAGTTTTGCTCCCACTGTGGGACGATAATATAGGTTATCAGCACACTGCTGATGTGTCCAGTTTTGATTTATGAAAAACCAATCCTTGGTACTCTTCCCCACAGCGTGAAGACGGAGCTACGAGGCTCAGTAGCACGATCATGGCTGAGAGTGAGCAACGCTGTCAGACAAGACTCAGGAACCTACTACTGTAATGTGACTCACCTAGCAGCAACCAGCGTCACCATACACGTGGTATCAGGTGAGTGTAGGTGTTAAGGTGGTAGGGTTTTAAGTAGCGATGGTGATTGTGTGTAGTGTAGGTAGTATTGTAGATGGTCCTTGTAATGAGTGTGGCGTAAATGAGATTAGATGGTGAGTGGAGACACAGGATTAGAAGCTGCACAAACACACACACACACACACACACGTTAAAACATCTGTTTAACAAAACAGAAACTAGTATACTGAAACTCAAGTCATAAAGTATTAGTACCAATGTTAAATTTAAATTTTTATGTTTTAGCACCATAATAAGGCTCTCAATAGGGCCGATCGTTATAGTCATCATGATGCTGCACGTCAAATTTCGTGTCAGTTGACTGGTGGCCAGGTGATACCTCTCAGCGGAGACAGTTAACTCAGTGTGGCTGAAGGAGCCATGTGTCACACCGTAATGACACTGCTTCTCTATCTGGTAAAAGAATGACTTTCAATCTTAGACACACGCACACAGGCACGCGCGCACGCACTCACACGCGCACGAGATCTGGAGGACATATGGGACAGGAGAGACAGGGAAACGTACAAAATAAATCTGAGGAATTTATGGGGCAGACAGCGACAGCCTGTTTGAGAGGCAGGGAGCAAACTGATGCACAGCTGCAAGTTAAAGAAAGATGAGCCACAGGAAGTATTTGTTCAGTCTTAGGGTGGTCTGGTAGCGGAATGACTTTACGATGAGGTAGTGGTGGCAGGCTTCGACAGGGCCCATGTAGCCGGGAAGGAGTGAATCCAGCAAGCGGCAAGTTGAATGGAGAGTCCGGGAACTGGAACTCGACTCCCACAACCACATATGAATACACAAAAACACATGTGCACACAGACTGTGTCGATGCAAATTTGGAGAGAAATACAGCACGGGAAGGGAGAAAATTGACGTCGGAGAGATGTGGGAAAAGAAACTTACAGAGACTGAATGAAATGATGAAATATGTAGCAGGAAAGTTCTGGGAGGCAGAGGAGAAAGTCATTCTCAGTTGCAGAAGCAGCAATGGCAAGACATGAGCGGGTCGATGGTTCACCCAGAGCTGTAAAGAAGCAAAAGTTAAAAGTGCAAAAGCCTGGTCAAAATATAGAAATCTAGGAATTGACAACTGGTAGTTGAAAACTCAAGTCGCAGGGATGTTTGGAAATACTTTTGAAGCACTGGAGTTGTTAGGAAGTGGAACAATCTGGAGTGCGATGGAGAGGAGGCAGGATCTATACATAGCTTTAAGGAGAGGTATGACAAGGGGAAGAGGCGGGTCCAGAAACTGCGATGTGACCCTTGCAACCACAAGTAGATGGGTACAAACAGGTGAGCGCGGGAGCGCGATACACACGAGCATATGAAACAGTAGGAAAGTCACTAAAAATATGTCCAACAATATCAATAAACTATACGCAAAGAGAAAAGACTAGTAAGAGAAACCGGGGGATGTTGGCTTCAGGGATAATGCAGCGACCTCACCCATCGATCACCTCTAAGCCTGCCGAAAATGCTAATTCTGGGTTTCAGGCCAATGAACCTTTTCATCTCGTTCTTACTGTTTACCTTCTTTCGTGGGTCTGTTCTACTCTATTTCTTCCCTTTTTTTCCATCCTTATGGCAAAAATAAAAGTTGGATGAATGAACATTCGTGTGTGTGTGTGTGTGTGTGTGTTGTGTGTGTGTGTGTGTGTGTGTGTGTGTGTGTGTGTGTGTATATATATATATATATATATATATATATATATATATATATATATATATATATATATATATATATATATATGGATGGATTTATGAAGGATGAGGTTAATCATAGAATTGATGAGGGAAAAAAGGTGAGTGGTGCGTTGAGGTATATGTGGAGTCAAAAAACGTTATCTATGGAGGCAAAGAAGGGAATGTATGAAAGTATAGTAGTACCAACACTCTTATATGGGTGTGAAGCTTGGGTGGTAAATGCAGCAGCGAGGAGACGGTTGGAGGCAGTGGAGATGTCCTGTTTAAGGACAATGTGTGGTGTAAATATTATGCAGAAAATTCGGAGTGTGGAAATTAGGAGAAGGTGTGGAGTTAATAAAAGTATTAGTCAGAGGGCAGAAGAGGGGTTGTTGAGGTGGTTTGGTCATTTAGAGAGAATGGATCAAAGTAGAATGACATGGAAAGCATATAAATCTATAGGGGAAGGAAGGCGGGGTAGGGGTCGTCCTCGAAAGGGTTGGAGAGAGGGGGTAAAGGAGGTTTTGTGGGTAAGGGGCTTGGACTTCCAGCAAGCGTGCGTGAGCGTGTTAGATAGGAGTGAATGGAGACGAATGGTACTTGGGACCTGACGATCTGTTGGAGTGTGAGCAGGGTAATATTTAGTGAAGGGATTCAGGGAAACCGGTTATTTTCATATAGTCGGACTTGAGTCCTGGAAATGGGAAGTACAATGCCTGCACTTTAAAGGAGGGGTTTGGGATATTGGCAGTTTGGAGGGATATGTTGTGTATCTTTATATGTGTATGCTTCTAGACTGTTGTATTCTGAGCACCTCTGCAAAAACAGTGATAATGTGCGAGTGTGGTGAAAGTGTTGAATGACGATGAAAGTATTTTCTTTTTGGGGATTTTCTTTCTTTTTTGGGTCACCCTGCCTCGGTGGGAGACGGCCAACTTGTTGAAAAAAATATATATATATATATATATATATATATATATATATATATATATATATATATATATATATATATATATATATATATATATATATATATATATATATATGTGTGTGTGTGTGTGTGTGCAATAAGATCACAGTAAACAGGTGATTTCAGAATATGCAAAACAACCACTCTGAAAGAATAGAGAAATTCCAAGCGCTTTCGTGACTACTAGTTCCTTGATAATGTGAGTAGTCACGAAATCGCTTGGAATTTCTCTATTCTTTCAGAGTGGTTGTTTTGCATATATATATATATATATATTATATATATAATATATATATATATATATATATATATATATATAATCTTTGCCGGAAGTGGAAAAAACTCTTCAGAGAGACGGAGAGTCGAGCGTACATTACCTGCGCTGAATGACTAATATTATATTCGCAGAGAAACACCAAATCCGTGTGCCACGTTAAGTTAATTTGTGGAGGCTCGATCCTCCTCCACTAATCGAAATACAGACAAGCTTCTCTAACAGCCACGAAACATAAGATTATCTTTCTCTTGAGAAAACATCGTGAAAGTAGTTTATGAGAGGAAGAGGTACAAGAAGAACTATCATTCAAGATTTTCAAAGAAATCTTAGTATACAAATTTACGGAACATTCGCCAAAATTCTCAAGCAATACCGTAAGAAGATACTAAAAACACTCGCATGAGAAACACTCAAACATTAAACAATCACAACAAGTGTCTTAGTGTAAAGAAGATAATTAAAAACATTTCCAGGCAGCAGTGTGTGTTATGTGGTGGCATAATTATGTATCAGTATCCGTGTTGGTTGCGGGGGACTAGCTGCTCACACGGATGCCACTGCCTTTGTGCTTATTCTTGCTCGTCACGCAACAGCAACACGCAATGTGCAACATGGAAACTCTGACGGGGTAAAAGAGAATTTGATGAATGCTTCACTCTCAACTTTGACATTTGCGTAGAGAAATCAAATATGAAGTTCATTCAGAAAGTGATTGCTCGGATGAGCCTATCGATAACAGTCGCAGAAAATACCTGGGACATGGTTGAATTAATAATAAATACTAGCACTACTTGTTAGTATGTAATTATATATGTATATATATATATATATTATATATATATATATATATTATTATATATTATATATATATATATATATATTATATTATATATATATATATATATATATATAACATATATATATATATATATATATATATATATTATATATATATAAATATTATATATATATATATTATATATATATATATTCACGAACACTATTATCAGGTCGAAGGAGACTCGAACCTACGAACCTTGGAACAATGACCGCAGTGCTCTACCATGGTACGACGCTGGTCCCGTACCTTGGCGCCCAGCTAATGCTAGACGTTTAGGTCCAGGGAAGCCAGCTTTCAGGCAGGTGGTTTTCAGCTTTTCATCTCATCCCCTGCATGCATAATTTGGCCCATTTGGGAACTGTTAAGCATTCCAAAATCTCTTCTGAAGCTCACTGCATGTGGCAGGATTTGATGAAATAACTTATCACAGGCCTGGTACTCAAGGGAATGGGACACATCCACATCGTCTAGCTACGACTAGGAGCCCATACTTATGTTTCCCTCAGAGAGAGGGTGACCCGAAAAAGAAGAAACACTTATTATCACTCACTCCATTATTGTCTTGCCAGATGCGTGTTGACATTGCAATTATAATAAAATGCAACATATCTCCACCCCTCCTTCAGAGCGCAGGCACTGTACTTCCCACTTCCAGGACTTAAGTTCGATTAACTGGTTAATCCTTCATAAATGTTACTTTGCTCACACTCCAACAGCACGTAACGTGATTAAAACCATTTGCCTCCACTCTAACACGCTCACGCACGCTTGCTGGAAGTCTAATTCCCTCGCACACAAAACATCCTTTTACCCCACCCCTCTATCTCTAACCTTCCCAAGGAAGACTCCCACCCCGCCTCTTTTCCACTACAGATTTATACGCCCTCCAAGTTACTCTATTTTGTTCCATCCTTTCTAAAAATCGGAACCATCTCAACCCCTCCTCATCCCTTTGAATAATACTTTTAGAAACCACGCACGGCCTCCTGATTTCCAAACTACGGATTGTCTGCATCATATTCACGCCGCACATTGCACTCAGACACATCTCCACTGTCTGCAGCCTTCTCGTTGTTGAAACATTCACCACCAATGCTTCACGCCCATATAAGGGCGTTGGTATCATTATACTTTCATACATTTCCCTCTGTGCGTCCATGGATGTTCTCGTCTCCACAGACTCCTCAGTGAACCAGCTATATTCT